TAGGCCATATTTAGGGCACCCGGCAAAAGCCAGTGTGGGATGACAGGGATGACGAGATTATTGCCACAAGTGCAAATGTAGTCGCTGGATAGATCTATGAGGTGGCAGCAGTCTTGGGCTCGGTTGAGCAGATTAAAATTAACTAAGGAGTTTTGACGTTTTAAAAAACCCCCAGAAAATACCATTCCGAAAAACGGTTGGAACCTGTGTCATGTGGTGTGTAGCATATTGCAGCTTATGAGCGATAACTTAATTTTCTAAACAAACACACACTATGTAATTTAAAACCGTATCAGTGATTAAGTTGTCAGATTACAACATACCCCCCCCCCCCTTTTTTTTTTCCAATCTCACCCGAACTTCAAAAGTGCCAGACTAAGGTTAAAGGTCGTCATTTATTTATATCAACGAATCATTGGCGTTGACTGGTAAACAAAGTGTAGGTTACCAAGGAAACATTCAAATTGACCAATGAAATAACATTGCTAATGGATGTTTGTCCGGCTCTATGGTTGAAGGGTAGTTAAGGCGCTTTACAGTCTGATAGTTTCTGAACACCAGCGTTCGATTTCAGCTGTGAATGGAGTAGAAAGACGGACCGGCCTGGAGTTTGAGCACAACAACTGTGAGGCTAGCTTCATATTTCCGCGGTGGATGGTTGTAGAAAGACGGACCGCTCTGGGGTTGACCTACAACAACTGTGAGGCTAGCTAGCTTCATATTTCAGCGGTGGATGGTTGTGGAAAGACGGACAGGTCTGGTGTTGACTACAACAACTGTGAGGCTAGCTTCATATTTCAGCGGTGGATGCTTGTAGAAAGACGGACCGGTCTGGGGTTGACCACAACAACTGTGAGGCTAGCTTTACATGTCCGGCAAACCACTGACGTCACGAGAGTCCACTACCCTGGCCCCAACGGTGAGTGTGGATTAAACAGTGAACGACAGTTTGGGCAAGGGACACACGTTGAGAAAACCCGAAGACGCTATAAGTAGTATGTCTTTGTCAGCAAAGGATGGGATAATATGATATGAGTAAGTTGAGGGCTTATGCTCCATTGGGGGATGCAAGTCTAAACTGACAATACCTAAAAATAAATTCCAGAGTTTCGACGAGTCATCTTCAATGAACAAGAACTTTCCATGTTTGAAACAGAAACAATACAACAAATAGGCAGTATCAGTCGGCGTCTGCAGCTTGGGGATCGCGAACATGATTCGTAATTCCACAATACCCGGTTCGATTCCAACTGCAAGGGATTTGGCCGCAGACCGCCTTTGCCCTGATTTCGACAATATTATAGAGCGCTGACCTCCAGGGAAGATGCCAAACTGATGAACTTAAAGTTACCTCGTAAACCAAAGTAAAATTTAATTTAATACTGAGATTGGATCCGCTACGTTGTGTGTAAAAGAGACGCATCAAATTTTTCCACAGGCGGTAATAACAAATATCAAATGTTTTAATATCAGTTGTGACTGGCGGGAGAGAGGATTGGCCTGCCGGCTCGCCTCAGTGGCTGAGTTTCACAGTCAGGGCTGCCGATATCTTTTGTTTTGTTTCGAGAACAATACCAGATATTTTCTGAAAAGGTGTTGGAACCCACTAAAATCTACCACATTTTCACTTTCAAAAAGCAACTCTTAAACGTCCTTAACAAAGCACACACACACACACACACACACACACACACACACACACACACACACACACACACACACACACATATATATATATATATATATATATATATATATGAAAAGTTGTTTATCTTATACTTAATCAGAACTGGAAATTCATTGTCCATTTACCACACAAAACCATGTAGGGTATTTGTTATCTGTGAACAACTGTAAGGGTACTTTTGTTTCTTTCGTAAGAAACTTCTAGCTATTGTTTGTAAGGCTCAACACAATGCAAACGTTAAAAATGTTTGAGCATTTGTAATACGTACCACAACATCTGGTGTGGCACTGAAGGTACAGTTTCGCTCGGCAAAAGTTATATGGTACAAAATGTTTACGAAAGTACCGACTTCGGCAGCCCTGGTTGGAATTCCCACACGAGTGGAGATTTTGGAACTTGATTTTGATTTTTGTCCATCGAAAACCCAATCCGGTGTGATCTGTGATGCAAAGGCGACCGGCAAGCCAACGAAGACATCAAATATAAAATTGAAGATTGGTCTAGTACGGTGTGGCTTGCTCATCCACAAAGTAGGCCTCAGAGAGTGCAAATACGTTTTTCAAATAACAAGAATTTAATACAACAGCAGCCATGTTTTAGGCTCGCTTTTTTCACCCACAAACCAAAACAAGCAGGACTAGTTAATCGATAAACCTGCTGAGCGTTGACTCGAGTACTTTTGCCTTAAGCCAGTCGCACAATGAACTATATTAAACCAATTATAGTAGGTCGTGGGGACACGGAAAAGTGGGTGGGGTGTCTGTCAGTGGGATCTGAGATGTGGGGGTGTCTGTCAGTGGAGTCTGAAATGTGGGGGTGTATGTTAGTGGGTTCTGAGATCTGGGGGTCTCTATCAGTGGGTTTCGAGATGTGGGGGTGTCTGTCAGTGGGATCTGAGATGCTGGGGTGTCTGTCAGTGAGATCTGAGATGTGGGGGTGTCTGTCAGTGGGATCTCAGATGTGGGGTGTCTGTCAGTGGGATGTGGGATGTGGGGGTGTCTGTCATTGGGTTCTGAGATGTGGGGGTGTCTGTTAGTGGGTTCTGAGATCTGGGGGTGTCTGTCAGTGGGTTCTGAGATGTGGGGGTGTCTGTCAGTGGGATCTGAGATGCTGGGGTGTCTGTCAGTGGAGTCTGAGATGTGGGGGTGTCTGTCAGTGGGATCTGGGATGTGAGGGTGTCTGTCAGTGGGTTCTGAGATGTGGGGGTGTCTGTTACTGGGTTCTGAGATCTAGGGGTGTCTGTCAGTGTGTTCTGAGATCTGGGGGTGTCTGTTAGTGGGTTCTGAGATCTGGGGGTGTCTGTTAGTGGCGTCTGAGATGTGGGGGTGTCTGTCAGTGGGTTCTGAGATGTGGGGGTGTCTGTTAGTGGGTTCTGGGATCTGGGGGTGTCTGTTTGTGAGATCTGAGATGTGGGGGTGTCTGTCAGTGGGTTCTGAGATATGGCGGCGGGGGTTGTCTGTCAGTGAGATCTGGGATGTGGGGGTGTCTGTCAGTGGGTTCTGAAATATGGGGGCGGGGGGTGTCTGTCAGTGAGATCTGGGATGTGGGGGTGTCTGTCAGTGGGTTCTGAGATATGTGGGGGGGGGGGGAAGGGTGTCTGTCAGTGGGATCTGGGATGTGGGGGTGTCTGTCAGTGGGATCTGAGACGTGGGGGTGTCTGTCAGTGGGTTCTGAGATGTGAGGGTGTCTGTCAGTGGGATCTGAGATGTGGGGGTGTCTGTCAGTGGGATCTGAGACGTGGGGGTGTCTGTCAGTGGGATCTGAGACGTGGGGGTGTCTGTCAGTGGGATCTGAGATGTGGGGGTCAAAATTTTTAATTTGTGTAGCCGAGTGTTTCCCAAGTTTTTTCTTAGTCGCGAGGTCTTTTTTTTTTTAATTAAAATTTTTCCACGTCGCCCTAGCCTAAGTACAAATATGACTATTAGTAAGAGATTTTAAAAAATCGTGTATGTTAATATATTTCACGGCGCCCCTGTGAAGAGGTCGCGGCTTCCCGAGGTGCCACGGCGCACAGTTTGAGAATCACTGGTGAAGCCTATGTAAATAGACTAGAATAATTGGCTTGATATACGTAAACTGCCACCTGTCATTTGCCGGGGTCATCTCTACCACTGTCAGTGTATGCTGTCAGGTAAATACATATTGGTTTAAAATTGTAGGGTGCTCATGCTTTATACATTTTAGAAAAGATATAAAACCGAACGAAAAGTATATCAGCGAGCTTCACCATATTGCCATCACAAACAAAACGTGAACGTTGTGGCTATGGAGCCTTCTTGAGCACATACATAGATTAGACAACACTACACAAATACACAATATCACTTATCTTCGTATCTCGCGGCAGCCAGGTCGATGTCAAGACAATAGCCTGGCGAGGCACGTGGGGCCTTGAAAGTAGACATTCGGGGATATGCCAGGGGCCGTCACTCGAGGATAAAATAAAATTTGTAGTCAGTGCAGCCCCCTAGGGTTTAGGTGAAGCTGTGTTGGCAGTTAAGTCCAATGGGCGCTAGAGTTCCCAAGGTGTAAATAAAGCGACTTTGAAGAGACTTGTAGACTCTAACGCTGGAGTGGCTAGATTTTGTCTGATCCAGGCAGTCATAAACCAGTTTCACCTATGTATTTAATACCACATCAGTTAAGGGCCTCATCAGGTCTAAATCCGACCCGAGTATTATTTGCTGTGATTTTATCATGTTATCCTCAGTTGACGGGAGCCGTCATGGTCTAGAGGCTAGACACTAGCCTGCGGATCAGAAGGTCGTGGGTTCGGTTCCTAACTGGAGCTGGACTTTTTTTCAAAAATTACTTTGGCTCCCAGGTCGACCCAGCCTTGAGTGGGTACCAGGTGCAGTCCTGGGAAGTAAAGGCTGCCAGCGTGATGCTGACCACATCGCCCACCAAGTGCCGTTTGGTCTATAAAATATAGGTCTAGCCCTATATACCTAAAGCGTGGAAAAAAGATCTTTTACTTGTTTCCTCAGTTCATGTATTATTGTCTGTCTAATCATCAACAGATCCGTTTATCAAAGTCTGTATCTCCTCGGGCACCAAAAAGCTCAAGAAGAAGAAAACCTCCACAGCTCATGGAACCAACTCTCCCACCTGGAACGAAGCCCTCGTCTTCAGTGTACACCGAGAAAAGCTCAAGAACATCGCCATGGAGGTGGCCGCTTACCACGACAACAAGCTCGGCAGTGACGAATGTATCGGCCGGGTTCGACTCCCACCGGACTCGGAAGACGGCATTCATTGCCAGGAACTTCTGACGGAAAAATCCATGCCGGCAAGATGGTACAGTCTGGGATAATCTCGGCCATCTTGACTGTGAGTTCTTCCATGGTGAAGGTCGCTAATTGTACTTTTGTCTTCTCTGGCATTGTGGGATGTCTTTATGTCCATTGGACCGTATAGTTTGCACTGGGCTGATGCAGCCGTTACGATTACCCTCGGTATAACTTATTTAAAGGATGAAGGTGAAATCTGGGACCCGCCCTGTTGGTCTGTCATGCTAAGCAGTGATTAAAACATCATGTTATGATGGTAAACCTTTTGGTAATAACCCGAAGAAACAAACTGATATATCGATAGATTGATCGATCAGTAGAGGGGTCGATCGATCAGTATGGGGGATTGATCTATCAGTATTGAAAACCCCTCTGTACTTCTATCGTTTATGGTTATATGGGATTTTTTACACTCTTTTTCAGATTTAAAAAAATGTGTAGCTGTATGATTTGGTATTGCTAAAATAGAGTGTTTGTGGTTTAAAATTGTTGAAGTTGTATGTTTGTGGTTTAAAATTGTTGAAGTTGTATGTTTGTGATTTAAAATTGTTGAAGTTGTATGTTTGTGATTTAAAATTGTTGAAGTTGTATGTTTGTGATTTAGTATTGTTGAAGTTGTGAGTTTGAGATTTAGTATTGTTGAAGCTGTGTGCCAGTGTGATGAAATGTTGTTGAAATTGACAATCTGGGATGAGGTGTTGTTAAAATTGTGAATCTGTGATTAAGTATGGAAATTGTGAGTCTGTGATTAAGTATGGAAATTGTGAGTCTGTGATTAAGTATGGAAATTGTGAGTCTGTGATTAAGTATGGAAATTGTGAGTCTGTGATTAAGTATGGAAATTGTGAGTCTGTGATTAAGTATGGAAATTGTGAGTCTGTGATTAAGTATGGAAATTGTGAGTCTGTGATTAAGTATGGAAATTGTGAGTCTGTGATTAAGTATGGAAATTGTGAGTCTGTGATTAAGTATGGAAATTGTGAGTCTGTGATTAAGTATGGAAATTGTGAGTCTGTGATTAAGTATGGAAATTGTGAGTCTGTGATTAAGTATGGAAATTGTGAGTCTGTGATTAAGTATGGAAATTGTGAGTCTGTGATTAAGTATGGAAATTGTGAGTCTGTGATTAAGTATGGAAATTGTGAGTCTGTGATTAAGTATGGAAATTGTCAATCTGTGGTTAAGTATGGAAATTGTGAGTCTGTGATTAAGTATGGAAATTGTCAATCTGTGGTTAAGTATTGTTGAGACAGTGAGTCTGTGATTTATTGTGACTGGTACGGTGGGTATGTGATTTAGTGTCACTGGTATAGTGAGTCTGTGATTTAGTGTCACTGGTACAGTGGGTATGTGATTTAGTGTCACTGGTATAGTGGGTAAGTATGGAAATTGTCAATCTGTGGTTAAGTATTGTTGAGACAGTGAGTCTGTGATTTAGTGTGACTGGTACAGTGGGTATGTGATTTAGTGTCACTGGTATAGTGAGTCTGTGATTTAGTGTGACTGGTACAGTGGGTATGTGATTTAGTGTCACTGGTATAGTGGGTATGTGATTTAGTTTCACTGATACATCGAGTCTGTGCGATTGACTGCTAGAGTCACCAACAAATGTGCGTGGGCTTGATCCGCTGCCGCTGAACGTTTGTGCACCGGTGACCGGACAGCTACCTATCTTGGCTAGACAAGATCACAAACACTGAGCTATTGGAAAGTGCAGGTACTACAACGGTCTTTTCAGTGCTCAGTCTCGCAGGGCTCAAGTAGCCGGTTCACACTTAGAGAGTGGAGGACGGTAGAGTCCCTAAGGAATTGCTCTATGGGGAATCACAGATGGGTAGAAAATGTGGAGGTCGCCCTCTGCTACTATATAAAGATGTGTGCAAGTGGTACATGGATTATACAGGTATAGCTGAGACGTACTCGTGGAAACAAAATGCCACGGACTGTGTTGCATGTAGGGATGTAAGACAGGAAGGGATTGAGAGTCAAGGAATAAATTATTACAGAAAGAATGAGAACTGAGTGTCAGAGAAGATTCAAACTAAACACAAAAGATGGCAACAACGGTCCGGAAATCCCCTGTTGCAATTGTAGAAGACGCCGACAGGTCTTGCTAGTCTCACTCGCCACCGCCATGGACTGTCAGTCCCATGTTTTTTTCAGTGCACATAATAACACTATCGTTTGAAAATGTGCAACGGTGCCAACGACCGGGCAGCCACGGTCAATCTGGAAACGAATCATCTGCGATGAAAATCATTCTCATATAAATTAGTTTGTTGCTACAACAACAATAACAACAACTGCAATACCAACAACAACAAAAACAATCACTACTGCTGTTGCTGCTGCTGATACAACAACAACAACGACTACTACTACCACTATCACAAGTATTATTACCACATTTCTATTGGACTGGTCGACAACTTCTTGCATAAACCTATTAGGCTCGCTAGACATTGGAAACCAAATACAACACAAAAGCTGACTGGAACACTCAACACAGGCAATGGAACAGATGCGCATAAATACAACAGAACGTTTTGACAAAAGTCGTTATCAACGAGCTACAAAATACAACTTTAACTATGACTAGAATATTCAAGAGGCAAGACATAGGAGCTTATGAACACCATAGGTCAACCTGAAACCGGAAATGCGAGACAAAAGAAAGTATAGACACATGGGGCTAAACTACGGAATGAAACAATAAAAAGGCAAGTGAGACACACACACACACACAAAACCCAGGGAGAAACAAGTTAAATGTAAACTAAAAAAAAGCTATGCCGAATATTAGTCCCAGAAGGACCCAGAAAGCCAAAACTATGACATATGCAATTGTCCAAGGAGAAACGGTTGGTTTGAGACTAGACACTGAGTTCTTAATTACATGATAACAAAAATATCACCAGTGAAATAACAAACAATATAAATGAGCAAGAGAACTGGAGCAGAAGCTGCTAGTGGCAGGAAATCAATTGAAGATAGAACCAACGATACGATGTTTTATGGACAGCGAATTTAGTGGCAACCTGGCAGCGGATGTGTTGGAAGTCGTTTCTGCCAGGTTTTTTGTTACGGTCCAAGACTCGCTGATGCTTGGTTTCGTGTTTAGAGTGATGTAGGGGATCGAGTGTAGAGTGGTATGTGGGGTCTGGCTTAGAGTGGTGTGTGGGGTCCTGTTTGGAGTGGTGTGTAAGGTCGTGTTTAGACAAGTTTATGGTAGTTTATGGGTCGTGTTTAGAGTGGTGTGTGGGATCGGGCTTAGAGTGGTGTATAGGGTCATGTTTATGCTGGTTTATGGGCTCATGCTTAGAGTGACGCGTGTTGTTGTGTTTAGAATATTCCACAGGGTCGGGTTTAGAGTGGTGTATGGGGTCGGGTTTGGAAAGGTGTGTGGGCAGGCAATTAGGATAATGTTTCTTTTCGGGTTTTTAAAGTGGTGTATGGGTCGTGTTTAGAGTGGTTAGAGTGTTCTTTAGGGTGCTAAATGAAGTAGTGATGAGGACGGTGCTAGGAAGTGCTTACTCGAAGGCTGTTTCAACACTTGTATTGTTGTGGCCAATATGATTCCCCGAATATATGTAATCTATCTTTTTTTGAGTATTTTATATGTGAAAAATTGAGGACACCCTGAGCTCATCGTCTCCGTGAGACTAACACCTAATAATTATTTCAAGGTCGTCCAAGATAAAGTGATAGATATTATCATAGGAAACAATAGGCAACAAGAGAATTAATTCCTGGGCACTCACATTGGAAACAGCACAGCGCTAACTATGTGAAATACCTGGTTTAAAACGCAATGTTTATTGCCCGATTGCATGCAGACAGATTGTGAAATGACAGTGCACCCTGGCACTAATTGATTTGTTTTGTTGTGGTTTTGCTCGTATCATCGCCTGTTATCTGGCGTGATGTACAATTGTGTCTCTCTGGGCATGAAGCTGAAGTCTGCAGACAATGGGAACCACGATGCCTGTCTAAGTCAATGATTGTTTTACAACCTGGCCTATCAAGATTGTGATGTTAGTTATAGAGTGTCACTGACATCGGTGTTTGGATGTGGGCAACATTACAGTTTAATTGACTTGACATTTGAAAATGCTCCTTTCGCATCCTCCGTGGCGGGCTCTCAGAGAGTCTCCTGAGGGCAGCATGGGTCGAATTTCGACGTCATAAGGGCGGGCCACACGTAAATGCTCGTTGGAATAATATAATAATTAATTATTGCAAAATATTCCCTGTGTGCCATATTTGTGCTTACAAAGGCCAAATGCGGGCCACCAGTTTGAAATGTATGTTATAGAATCAGCCCAAGCCTTTGTTGACTGTTGTTGGTTTCACTAGGCTATTTTATTTTCAGTAGTTTGCCCTTGCTTGCTGGAGGGTCGACTCTCGAAACCACTGTAGAAACCATACAAGGCGGTCTAGTTTTCCCAGTTCTGTTGCTCACAAAAAGTCACAGTGATTACATGAATAAGCCAGTCAGAGCAACACACATGTTGTACCCGCAATAAGCCACTCAGAGCAACACACATGTTGTACCTGCAATAAGCCAGTCAGAGCAACACACTTGTTGTACCCGCAATAATCCACTCAGAGCAACACACATGTTGTACCTGCAATAAGCCAGTCAGAGCAACACACATGTTGTACCCGCAATAAGCCAGTCAGAGCAACATACGTGTTGTACCTGCAATAAGCCAAACAGAGCAACACACATGTTGTACCTGCAATAAGCCAAACAGAGCAACACACATGTTGTACCCGCAATAAGCCAGTCAGAGCAACACACATGTTGTACCCGCAATAAGCCAATCAGAGCAACACACATGTTGTACCTGCAATAAGCCAGTCAGAGCAACACACATGTTGTACCTGCAATAAGCCAGTCAGAGCAACACACATGTTGTACCTGCAATAAGCCAGTCAGAGCAACACACATGTTGTACCTGCAATAAGCCAGTCAGAGCAACACACATGTTGTACCTGCAATAAGCCAGTCAGAGCAACA